TAATAATAATAGCTAACATTTATGTGGTGCTTATTATTTGCCAGGCACTGAGCTAAGCATTTTATAATTATTATTTCATTGGATCTTTACAACAATCCTAGGAGGTAGGTGTTATTGGTATTCCCATTTTACAGATGAGGAAACTGAGGCAAAGAAGTTAAATGACTTGCCCAGGATCACACAACTAGTAAGGTGTCTGAGGCCAGATTAATAAACGTGTATTAACTGAAAAGTATGTATTAAGCGTCCAGTTTATGCCAAGCACTGTGCTAAGCCAGAGGGGCACATTGTTTTGGTAGAGTCTATTTGAGGAAACTATTCTGTAGCCAAACTGCATCTTTCTACTGATGGGTTGTGATGCCTGGGATTTTTTTTCTTAATATTTCTTTTTTTAAGTTTTGAGTTCCAAATTCTATCCTTCCCTCCCTCCCCTTCCCCTCTCTCTGAAACAATCTGATATAGAATATGTGTGTGAAGTCATGTAAAACATTTCTCTATTAGTCATTTTGTAGAAGAAAACAAACAAAATGAAAGAAAGAAGGAAGGAAGAAAGGACAAGTATGCTTCGATTTGTGTTCAGATGCCATCAGTTCTTTCTCTGGAGGCAGATAGCACTTTTCATCGTGAGTCCTTTAGGATTGTCTTAGATCATTGTACTGCTTAGAAGAGCTAAGGCATTCACAATTCATTATCATACAGTGTTGCTGTTACTATGTCTAATGTTCTCCTGGTTCTGCTCACTTCACTCTGCATCAGTTCATGTAGGTCTTTCTAGGTTTTTCTGAAATCATCCTGCTTTTCATTTCCTATAGCACAATAGTATTCCCTTATAGTCATATGCCATAACTTGTTCAGCCATTCCCCAGTTGATGGGCATCCCCTCAACTTCCAATTCTTAGCTGCCACAAAAAGAGCTGCTATCAATATTTTTTTGAACAAACAGATACCTGGGAATTTCTTGGAATGGCGACTCACCATTGCCTTTGGGTAGGTTGTAGGGCAACAGCAGCCCTCTGGTTGTGGGCGCCATGCACACTAGCTCTCTCTCTCTTACTTCCTTTTTCATTTGGCTTGCCTCATATGTTGATGAAAAATCATAGTGGGTATATGTATCTCTAGAGTATCTATAACAACAGAGTGACCAATGGCTCACAAGCTAACTCTTGATTTGAATAATTGGTTACCAAAAATGGTTTCCCAAACCTGGGAGAAGAGCAAATAGTTCTAGAGGCATAAGGGCCCTGGCTACAAATGTTGTTGAATGAATCAACAAACGTAGACCGCGTGCCTACCTATTTGGATCACTCTTGTTTGCCATAATCCCCCCCCCACGCCCACCTCCCAAAATTATAAGCCTTTGTTTGGATAAATCATGATTTAGCTATTTCTTTAATTCTAACAATGGTTAGACTCTATGGCAAAGATGTACCATTAAAACCCACACATTTTTGTAGGATTAGACTTTTAGACTAGTTGATGGGTCGTTTGGAGAATTGTGTTAGCTCCACAGTGGGCTGCTTTGGTAAACCCACTCACCTCCAAGCACCCTTGCCTATGTCAACCTCATCTTCCTATTTCCGGGTCTCAGTACGATGCCCACAAAGACTTTGGATTCGCATTTTCACTTAGTAAAGCCACAATGAAATTAGCAGGTGCTTTAAGACTTGAAGACTCTCACACCTGCCAATTTCCAGGAAGGCATTATTGGCATTACTAGTAGAATGTATCAGGAGGAAAAGAAAACCGTTTCTGATTCATCTGGCCGGTCACAAAATAGGCCTGATGTCACCTGGTCCTGATGAACAGCTCCTCCGTGTTTGTGAAGAAACGGAGGGAGGCATGACCACCAGCGTCCTGCCCTGATGTCCCCAGTCTGTAGCATTTCCTCCCACCTCAATTTTCTTTCTTTCCTGGTGTGGTTGTTGCCAATAGCGTTAAGTGACTTGTCCAGGATCACACAGCTGACATGTGTCTGAGGTCAAATTTGAACTCAGAAGATGAGTCTTCCTGACTCTAGGCCCAGCACTCTGTGCACTACGGCACCACCTAGTGGCCCATGAGGTGTCTAGGAGTGTTTAACAAGCTTTCCAGAGGAAAAAAACAATGTATGTGCACATACTTTTAAGTTTTATATGCATTATTAACATTTTTCTTTCTTAAATCTAGACAATCAACAAAACAGTAAATTGAGCCCTCATTTGTAACTCTACTGATTCCAGAGGTATAAATATTCACACTGAAAATTTATTTATTTTTTGGTTTGTTTGTGTTTTTTCAGGCAATTGGGGTTAAGTGACTTGCCCAAGGTCACACAGCTAATAAGTGTCAAGTGTTTGGTCTGAGGCCGGATTTGAACTCAGGTCCTCCTGACTTTAGGGCCGGTGCTCTATCCACTTTGCCACCTAGCTGCCCCTTATACTGAAAATTTAACAACTGGCTGGCTTCAGCTGGCTCTCAACTCCCTGTGTATTCCCTGTAAAATGATGGGAGTGGACTGGATAACCTAAAAGATACTAGCTGTGATGACCTGGGGCAAGTCATTGAAACTCTTTGTACCTCTGATTCCTCATCAGCAAAACAGGGGATTCTTTCTTTCTTTTTTTTACCCCCATGATTCCTTCCAGTTCTAAATCTCTGTTTCTTTGACACAAGAAGCAGCTAGGTGACCCAGTGGCATAGATTCCCAATGTGAGCGATTCTGCACCTGGGGACACTGGACCATCCAGGGGGGTGGTAGTAGCCTCAAGTGCAATTGGGGGGTGTTGAATAAAAATAAGGGGGCTGTGGAAGTATAAGGAAAGAAGAGAAAAGAAGAAAAATTTGAAAAACCTTTTGTACATGTTTCATCTGTCGTGTAACAGAGTTAAAGTTGTAGTGATTACATTATTTTCCAAATAAACATACAAAATGCAAGTTATAGCAGGTCACTGGTCAAGTCCACCAACAGGTCTTAACAAGCAGGTGTTGACAGGCAAACGTGTTGTACATTGTCGGGAAGTCCAGCGTGCATCGGCAGGAATAAGTGCATGTAATGACTTATTTACAGTATGATATTATCAGTTACATGTTGCAATATTTATTGCATCATCAAAATTTCAGTGCAGGAAAAAAACACAAATTTACAATAGATTATTTCAAATGCATCATTTTTTTAAAAAAGTTGTATTTTTTTAAAATGATGCAAAATTTTTTTAAAAAGTCAAAGGGTTAAAGAAAGTAGATTTACAGGGGTCACTGAGTAATTTTTCTTTTTGAAGAGGGAGTGGTAGGCCAAATAAGTTTGGGAACCTCTAGGCTAGAGTGCTGGTCTGGATTCAGGACCTGGGTTCAAATCTAACCCCTAATACTTCCTAGGTATATGACCTCATTCTGACTCAAGTTTCCTGGACTGTATAAGGGGAAGTAATAATAGCACTCACTTCTCAGCGTTGTTGTGACAATCAAATGAGATAATATTTACAAAGTGCTTAGCACAGGGCCTGGCACATAGTGGCTGCTTACATATTTTGGTTTGTTTCTCCATTGTCAGCTCTTAGTAACCCTGAACAATTCACAGAAGGAAATGGTAGCAGTTTTCCCCAGGTTCCTTACTGATAAGAAGTCAGAAAGGTATTGCTTGTCAGTCAGAAAAGTAGTTCAAGTGGGAGCAAGACTTTTTAGAGCAGGAAAGTCTGGGACCAGGAGTCTGGGCAGCCTCATAGGGACCAATGAAGTCCAGGAATCAGAACATGGAACCAAGAAGTAGTGGCTGGTATAGCATGTATGCAAAGCAGCAGTCTGAAAGTAGATCTGAAACCACAAGGTCAGTCTGTGTGTCCAAAGGATGGGGAAGAAGTGAATGCCATTCACATTGACAATTGAATCCAAGTCCAAAATCCCCAGTCATGAATTGTCAGGTAGAAGTGATCTCAGAGTCCTCAAGTCCTGACCAAATGTACCCGAACAAGCATCTCACGTCCAACATCTCAGACTGTGACTACTCAACCATTGCTGGAAGGGAAACTTGCCACCTCCAGAAATGCCCTTTTCCATTTTGTGGTAGCTCCAATTATTAGAAAGGTTTTTTTGTTTTTCCAAGTGGGAGCAGGGCAAGTGATTGATAGGAGTCTGACTGGCAAGGTCGTGAAGTCAAGAGGAACTAAGAATTTGAAGGCCTGAAGCTCAACCATGAAACCCAGACATTGGGGAAACCCAGGGCAAAAGTAGGCGCTCGGCCACTGGAGAGCTCGATTACCGATGTCAGAGCAGGAAGAGTCACCAAAATGACCCTTTGGTCTCCAAATGCATCCTGTACTTTGTCATTTCACAGCCATTGTTGCTAACTTTCGCTGTTTTGAATGACATCTTTGGAAGATGAAAGGGTTAGAAACTAGGAACTAGGAGGGGAAGAAATTGGGCTTAATTAGCCAGAAGAAAACAAACAAAAAGATTGAGAGGTGTCTTAATTAAGTCATCTTCCACATGAAAGAGGATGTTAACTCCCTGTTCTTCAGTTGTACTGAGGATAAAATAAAATCCAAACCCACTTAATTGTAGCAATAGGGACTTGAATGAGCACGGGCAAAGCGAAGAACTTTGGGGCTGCAAGATTATTTGACGTTGTTCAGAATTAGTTAAAAGCAGTTGAGATCTGAGAAACCTAAGTTAAATAAGTTGGTTAGAGCCAGGGAAAACATCTATAATTTTAAGAGCTGCTCTTTTGCTTCCGTGCCCTAAGAACTCATTAATTTTAACCTCCTTTAATTTAGAATCATCAATAAGACCACACTATTATTAGAGCATTCTAATCACTAGATATAGAAGGGGAGTCAAAGTTTGCCTAGCAAATGAAGGATATAAACAAGAGAAATGTGGAGCCTACTTGGATTTGCCAATAAACTTTATTTAACTGCTTTGCATGCAAATAAATGCCTTTGTTAATAATGGGTATGTTAATGGTCGATCATTCTTATCTAAGAGTCTCTGAGACTAATCATCCAGCTTTCTCCTTCCCTTTTCAGGTCAGCAGAGTTACTCCATATATTTGAAAGTATTAACATGGAATCCCAGGACTGGGAGGAGCCTTAACGCCTTCATTTTGCAGGTGAGGAAATTGAGGCCCAACTTTGGATAGACGGTTAGAGGTATGTGGACAGCATAGTGGATGGAGGAAGACCTGAGTTCAGATTCTGCCTCAGTCGTTTACTACCTGTGTGATGCTGCATGTAATCTAACCTCTTCCTGTCTGTTTCTTCATCCGTTGGACTTGATGGCCTTTAAAATTCTTTCTAGCCTTAAAATCGTGATCCTGTGAATGAATTTATAATCCAGGTTGTTGTCCATCCTTTGTCCTTGAAGAGGTCCACTGGCATCATGAGGGTGATGTCTTGACTTGGACGTGAATTGGATTTAAGTGAGGCAAAAATGCAGAGTGGCCACCCTCACTGTCTCCTCCAGTCATCGAAGTCCAGTGTCCTTGGCACCAAAATTACAGTTGTGTTGTATAACTAAGACTTCTTCCAAATCAGATTGATCTTCTTGGCCATATGTTGGGTTGGAGCCAGCCATCTTTCATTTCATACTACCTTTGGCCCTCTGTAAATGGCCACTGTGCCCTGGTGAGGGGGCCTTCTCCCCAAAACCCTGAGATAGTGAGAGTGCTTAGCAGTCTTTGATGAGGTCAAGTCAGTAGCCCAGGCGGAGTGGGCTTCATCAAAACCCCATAATGCCCAATTAATCTTATTCCCTTTTTTTTGATAGGGTTATTGAAGTGGTAGGGCAGAGGTTACGACAGAGGAGACATATAGACAGAGGTTACCCAGTTTGAGGCAAAGTATTTGATAAAATCTCCCACACTTTAGAACTGGAGTCATTCCGGATTTATTTTCAATGTGATGGGAGTCGTCAGTGGAGTGCCACAGGGATCTGTGTCTGGCTCTGTGCTGGTAACATTTTTATCAGTGACTTCGAAAAAAAAGGCATAGATGGCTAACTTATAAAACTTGGAGACGGTACAAAGCACTAGAGGACAAAGTAGGGAGGTGAAAAGATTTTGAGTCTAGAACATTAAGGCACATCTAATTTGGTGAACGTTCAGAGTTCACCATAAAGTTTTTATTTGTATTAAAAAAGTCACTTTCAAAAGTACAAGATGAGGGAAGCCTAGTTATTTTGTCAAAAATGTTTTTTTTGTCTAAAAAAAAGTTATTTTGCCTAAAAAGGACCTAGATAGGGGTTAACCTTTTGTGTCGTGGGCCCTTTTGGCTGTCTGATGAATCCTCCTTGGAACAAGATTTTTAAATGCATACATAAAATGTATAGAATTACAAAGGAAACCAATTATATTGAAATACAGCTATAAAAATGTTTTTCCAAAAACAAAGAGTTCATGGAAGCCAGGCTAAAAACTCTTGTTCTAGAGGTTTGAGGGCATTGGGGTTTTTTTGCAACTCAACATGAGTCACAGTGTGGTATGGGGAACAAGGAAATTTATGTACTCGGGTTGCAGTGAGAGAAACATAACTGCCAGGAATAAAGAGGTAATAGTTCTTCTCTGTTCTGCCAGGGTCAGACCACATCATCGTCATCATCACCATTATCACAGCTGACATTTATAGAGCAAAGTGCTCGCCACATGCTAGCCCCTTTGATCCTGGCAACAAGCCTATGAAGTACTCACTATTATATCATCTCCATTTCACAGATGAGAAAACTGAGATTTTGTTGTTCAGTTCTGTCAGACTAGACTCTTCATGACCCCATCTGGGGTTTTCTTGGCAGAGATACTGGAGTGGTTCACCATTTCCTTCTCCATCTCATTTTACAGATGAGGAAACTGAGGCAAACAAGGTTAAGTGACTTGCCCAGGGTCACACAGCTAGTAAGTGTGGATTTGAACTCAGGTCTTCCTGACTCCAGCCCAGCACTGTACCCATTGTGCCACCTAGCTACCTTCAAGAGAAGTGACAGAGAGGCAAACAGGGAAACCTTACTAACAATGAAATCTATCACTAATTAGAAGGGTTTCTTCCTCCCCTAAGATCTGTAAGGCTTGAGGACCATGTGTGGGGCATGTTGTAGAAGGTGTTCCTCATCCCTGCTCCTAGGTTGGGGTTGGACCAGAAGATGGACCCTCGGGACCTTTCCAATCTTGAAATTCTGAGCTTCTGAGATATACCAGTTGTCACTCAATTAATCAACAAGAATTTATTGAATGCCAGTTTTGTGCCAAGCATTGTGCAAAGTGCTGACAAAGATGTAACGGTCCCTGCCTTCAGGAAGCTTACATTCTGTGAGGGAAAAATCTACTCATATCAGTATTATGGGGGATGGGCCATCAAGCCCAGTCCTTAGGAACATGCACAGAATGCTCAGCCATTAGAACCCATGTGCATTCTGAAGCTTGTACAGATAAGCTGCACAGCTATTGGGTCAGCGGGGTGGTGCCATAGTGCACAGAGCCCTGGGCTCAGAGTCAGGAAGACTCATCTTCCTGAGTTCAAATCTGGCCTCAGACACTCACTAGCTGTGTGACCCTGGGCAAGTCACTTAACCTTGTTGGCCTCAGTTTCCTCATCTGTAAAAAGAGCTGGAGAAGGAAATAGCAAACCTCTCCAGTATCTCTGCCAAGAAAATGCCAAATAGAGTCACTGAAAAACAAAACAAATTAACTAGAACCAGTCTTGTCTTTCTGATTCCTTCCTTTCTGACTGTGTTTCACTGAGAGAAGGGAAACAGTGATATGAGAGGAGAGTCCTCAGGCCCTCCCCATCCAAGGTCTATGAATACATCCCTCTGCTCTCTGCCTCAGCATTTGTGCTTTCCCATTTTCGATGAAGGAAATTGGAGTTGGTTTTGACCTAGGGACCGTTGAGCTGTCAGCACCAAGAGGTCCAGCACTGGTGACCACGCTGGGTTGTGCAATCAGTCAGTCTAGCATTAAGGCCCAGAGACTGGGAACCCAGCCTCTTAGTATCCAAGATTGGTTAAATGGTACTGTGAGTACTCGTCACTGGGGGTATCATGCCAGGTGTCTGCTCAGGGGGATAGCTTGGACCTCAGCAGTACCCCTGGAACCCTGAGGGAGAGATGGAACCAGACTATCTTGGGGAGAAGGAGGTCACAGCAAATCACTGCAGAAGTAAATAAAAGGTTTTCAGCAGGATGCAAGACAACTTTGGTGGGGAGGGAAGAGGTATTACCAGCAGGTTGGAGAGATGGATCAGGGAGAGCCCCAGGTAGGAGGCAGCACTTGGCTTGAACTTTGATGAAAGTGGGGTGTTCTTAGACATAGAGGTGAGTAGGGAGAGTGTTCCAGCAAAGGGGCCATGCTTATGCAAAGGCCTCAGATTCCTTATCTGACAAATAATAGTGGTACCCACTTCTCAGTGATGTCGTAAGAATTGAATGAGATAATACTCATAAAGTACTTGCAAACCTTAAAGGGTTATATATGTGCTTGTCATCATCATCATCATCGTCATATCCCAGGAAGCCATAAAGCACGGATCTAATTTTTTAAAAAACTGACATGTATTTACCATTTAACCTTTAGAAAATCAAAATATTTGTTTTACTCAGATTTATGACCTTTCAATTTGATTTAATTCAAACAATTTGTTAAGCGTCTACCATATACCAGACACTGTGACAGGTGCTGGAGATACAAAGACAAAAACAAGCTAATGCCTGCTACAGGGAGCTTACATTCTACTAGAAGAATGCAACCTGTAGCCAAATAAGTATAGTACAAGGAAAATTGAAGACAGAGAAAGCAGTAACTACTGGAGGGATGAAGAAATGCTTCAAGGACCTTGTAGCATTTGAGCTGAGCCTTGAAGGAGAATGAGGATTTGGAGGGGCAAAGATGAGGAGGGAGTGAATGCCTGGCATGAGGAATGTCTTCTGAGAATGCCCAGAGGCAGGAAATGAACTTCAAGTTTAAGGAATGGCTTGTAGTCCACTCTGGCTGGAAGGTAAAGTGTTTTTTTTTTAATTAATTTATTTTGATTTATCCACAATCACTTCCATAAGCTTTTAAGCTTAAAATTTTTCTCCCCCTTCTTCCCTACCTCCCTCCCCAAGACGGTGCACAATCTGATATAGGCTATACATATACATTCCTATTAAACATATTTTCGCATTAATGATGTCCTAAGTAAGAATTAGAACCAATAGAAGGAACTACCAGAAAGAGGAAACAAAACTCAACAGAAGAAAAAAAATAGCAAATGGTGTGCTTCGACCTGCATTCAAACTTCATAGTTCTTTCTTTGGATGTGGACAGCGTTTTCCATCACGAGGCCTTTGGAGATGTCTTAGATCCTTGTAATGCTGGGAAGAGTTAAGTTTATCGATATTAGTCATTGCACAATGTGGCTGTTATTGTGTACAAAGTTCTCTTGGTTCTGCTCACTTCACTCAGCATCAGACCATACAAGCCTTTCCAGGTTTTTCTGAAGTCAGCCTGTTCATCATTTCTTATAGCACAGTAATATTCCATTACATTTATATACCACAATTTGTTCAGCCATTCCCCAATTGATGGGCATCCTCTCAATTTCCGATTCTTTGCCACCACAAAAAGAGCTGTTGTGAATATTTTTGTACATGTGCATCCTTTTCCCACTTGTATGATCTCTTTAGGATATAGCCCTAGAAGTGCTATTGCTGGATCAAAGGGTATGCACATTTTTATAGTCCTTTGGGCATAGTTCCAAATTACTTTCCAAAATGGTTGGATCATTTCACAACTCCACCAACAATGCATTAGTGTTCCAATTTTCCCACATCCTCTCCAACATTTATCATTCTTCTTTTGTCATCTTGGCCAATCTGATAGGTGTGATGTGGTACCTCAGAGTTGTTTTGACTTTCGTTTCTCTAATCAATAGTAATTTAGAGCATTTTTTCATGTGACTATAGATGACTTTAATTTCTTCATCTGAGAACAGCCTGTTCATATCCTTTGACCATTTATCAATTGGGGAATGACTTGTATTCTTATAAATTTGACTTAATTCTCTATATATGTTAGGCCTTTATCAGAGAGACTGGTTGTAAAAATTCTTTCCCAATTTTCTACCTTCCTTCTACTCTTAATTGCATTGGCTTTGTTTGTGCAAAAATTTTTCAATTTAATATAATCAAAGTTATCCATTTTGCTTTTCATAATGTCTCCTGTTTGGTCATGAATTCTTCTGTTCTCCATAAATCTGATAGGTAAACTATTCCTTGCTTTCCCAGTTTGCTTACAGTATCAGCCTTTATATCTAAATCATGAACCCATTTTGACTTTATTTTGGTATATAGTGTAAGATTTTGATCAATGCCTAGCTTCTGCCTACTCTTTTCTAGTTTTCCCAGCAGTTTTTTTCAAAGAGTGGGTTCTTATCCCAGAAGATGGGGTCTTTGGGTTTATCAGAAGGTAAAGTTTTTGAAGAAGAATATCACAGGGTAGGCAAAGGGAGTTGGGCACCATATTGCCAAAGGCCATCTATTCTTAGCCAACGAGTTTGCATTTTATGTTATGGTCAATTTTTAAGGAATCAACTGAAGGTTTTTGAGCAAGGAGTCCCTTGGTCAGAACTGTACCCTAAGGAAATTATTATGGTAGTGTTGTGAAGGATGGCTTGGATTGGAAAGGGATAAGTAACCAGAAGCATCAAAACCAATTAGGAGGAGATGACCAGATAGAAGTTTAGTGAGGCCAGTGGATTGTAGATCTGAGGTAGAGAGGGACCACACAGAGATGATCTGCAGTCAGAGTCCACAAGATTTGCAAGAGGCTGGATATCGGGTGAGAAGGAATGTGAGTTTGTAACTCTGGAGTTATAAACCCAGGAGACTGGAAAGATGGCAGTGCCCTCAACAGAAATACTTAGCATTTAGAGCCCTAGAAGAAATGAACCAGAAAAGAAGAAAAATTATATATATTTTTTGAATTTCAGGAGATTATTTCAAGGTGAGATTTTTTTTATCAATAGAATATTTTCTTTATATATTTTTCTCATCGTGGTAGTGTAGGTCTACATCACCTACCTAACATATTAGAGAGTAAGTGTCACATAGTGAGTGTACAAAGATCAAGACTTGGGTTAAAATCCTGCCTCAGACTCTCGCTTTGTGAACTAGTCACTTTATGCTTTTGGGTCTCGATTTCCTAATCTTTAGAATGGGGTTAATAATAGCTAGCACTTTATAATAATATAGCACTTTAAGGTCTACAAAACACTTTTACAAATATGATCTGGCTTGGTCCCCACCACAACCCTGGGAGGTAGGCAATGTTATTATCCTCATTTTACAGACAAGGAAACTGAGGCAGTGTCTGAGGCTGGATTTGAACTCAAGTCTTCCTCACTCTAGGTCCAGTACTTGATCCAATGAGTCACCCAACTGCCTTTAATTATACTGTTAGCAGTATCTGAAAGGGTTGTGGTGAATCAGTTATTATTAGTTATGAATGACAAATGCAAATTTATAGGATCATTGTTCCAGAGCTGGAGGGGACCTCAGAGGCCATTTAGACTGACCTTATCATTTTTCAGATTAGGAAACCGAGGCTCATGGTGGTTAAGTGACTTGTCCAAAGTCACACAGGTATTAAGCCTCAGAAGTAGCATTTAAAGATATATCCTCTGGGAGTGCTTTTTTCACTATATCCTTAAAAAAAAACCCAGGTTACTATAAAAATTTACTCTTCTTAATGTGCTAAAATAATTATGATAGTTTAATTTTCTAGAGTGGGAGAGGTAGTTATATTTTAACATGTGCTATATATATCTAGAGGAGTTTCCCCTTGATTTGAATCACCTGTGTACATGTTGTAATTAAAAAATAAAGATGAGTTAAAGTTCTTTGTGAAACCTTTTCTCCCTCAAAATAAGCAATTTGCTAATGGGCTGTCTGTCCTGGGTGATTTTGCTGCCATTCCTAAATGCAAATGGGCTTCCTCCAGTTTGCCCTCTCCTTCCCCGAGAGGCAGTTGGCTTTTACTGGTAATTCTCAATGTTTTGGACTTGTAATCTCTTATCGATGTTGGTTTTGTAACACCTCCTTCCCCCTCTCTCCATGGAATTCCCTTTTAGTTCCATGGCATCCATTCACCATTTAAACTCATTTTTAAAAATAATTTTTAATCTGCCATTGTGGTTTATAAAACTGAGTTTCCAACAAATATATAGAACCCAGAGGAGAGCACCTCGGCTGCCCAAAATGGGTATCACCTGGATCAATCACCCCTCACAGTGTTAAAAGCACAAGTGGGTGAGATTAGGAATCACACCTGGGATCTTTGAGGATTCGTAGAGAAGGAAAGAGGTGCCCAGCTTGGATGCAGGTAAATGCTGTTCCCTTGGACAGCGTCCTCATCTGTAAAATAAAGGAGGTCCAGCTCTTTCCAGCTCCAAGTTCGAGCAAGTCAAGACATCATCCTCGTGATGTCATTGGTCATCTTCAAGAATGAAGGATGAACGAGTTCTGTGATTCTATGAACCTACATTTTCAGATGGCTTTTACCTTGAATCTAACAATATCACAAACAACTTGCCTCGTAAATACCTAGCGATTTGGCATCAACGAGTGTTTTATCCGTGGTGGCAGGGACCTCTCATTGTGGATACCTTCATGAAACTGTCACCCAGGACCATACTAAGTCCCATTGAACCACCTAGATATACCTACTTGCCCTTGCAGAGAATACAAGGAAGTCAGAAATGTGCAGTTCAGATCCAGAACTTGCCTGGGCTTCCCAGTGCTTACATGATTCTGGAAAGGGGTGAAGGTTCTAGGAGCCAGAACACAGTCTATAAAGACCATCATCAGCCCCACCCTCCTTGTACTCCCTTCTTCCTCCCCAGTCTCTCATATAAACTCCAAGGCTCTGGATCTCAAACTCTTTCGTACACAAACTCAGACCTCCTGCCTGCTTCTCCCTTTTGAGAATTCTGTATTTGGAGTAAAAAAACTCAAGTTTGAATCCTGACTTTGCTACTTATTACCTGTGACCTTAGGCAAATCACTTAACCAATCTAGATCCCCCATTTCTTCATCTGTATAATGAATGGGTTGTTCTCAGATGGCCTCTGAGGTCTTTCTCCAAGTCTACAATTCTATGACCCCATTCTGCCACAAGTCTCTTACAAGCAGGCAATGACAGAAACACCCAAAGATTTTCCAACCTAGGGAATAATTAGCCACGGTGGGCAGCTGGATGGCCTTGCAGCCTCAGGGCACAGCTATGTTCCCTTTGCCAACAGCCCCAAACTCTAATCATTGGTTTTGATGGCTCACCTTGTAAGATGCAGCACAAAATTTTAAAAAAGTCTTCCTATGCTAATTCTAGCTGAAGTTTGGGTGGGATCCTTTCAATTTATCATATTTTTGTTGCAAAATTGTATTTTGATGGTAAATGCCTTTCTAATTTTTTCCAGAATGATGTGGCTAGCTTTTATAATTTGGTAATATGATTCACATTGTTAATCAGAATCACTAGAAATAAGCCTGTTTTTGGGAAGAGGCATCACATGTTGGTTTCTTCTGGATAAGCCATTTGCAGAATTTTTGATTTGCTATTTGGACTAGTTTCATGGATGTTTACCTCCATTGTCAGTCTCGATTACTAACTTTTATGCTTTGTTGTCTCTGCAAACTTCTGAATTTTACTCAATTACCCATGGTAGGGCATATGGTGCTTAGCACTGTGCCTGACACATAGTGAGCTCTTAATAAATGCTTATTTAATTAATCAGTGTTCATTAAGCACCTACTATGTGCCAAGCTCTGGGGGTACAAAAAAAGAGGCAGAAGACAGCTCCTGCCCTCAAGGAGCTTACAATTCAATGGGTTATTGACTTTCTTTGGCTTGACACTAATTATTTTACAGTCATTCTGCCAAGATGGTCAATTGAGTGTACAGTATTTGGTGTATTCAGATATTCATTCTAGACAGTTCAGAAGCCAACTTTTGAGTCAGGTGATGGATTTCAGGTAATCCCTGCAAATTCTCTGTATTAGCTAAATGCACACATTGTGTGAAAATAAAGCAGAAAAGTTGGCTTACTTGTTTTTTGTGCTTACCCGTTATTACAGTTTCTTTCTTCGTGGAACCTCTGGACTGCTTCATGGGATCCCCCTCTTTCAAAGACAGTTTGAGAGGAGATGTCCTCCAAAGAGACTGATGAAACTCATGTGCATCTCTGCTGCGTGTGCCCACTCTCCCATCTCACTGGAAACCAGGACTCCACTCCTAGCTTCTCCCCTCTGCAGGTCTGATATCAAACCTTTTTACCTCATCTAGCAGAGAACCAGGCCATCCTGACATCTCCTGCAGCCTTCCTGATATGCTTCTGCCTCAGTTTCCTCTTCTTGACAATGGGGTTGATAAAGCACTTTACACATAAATTATCCCATTTGATCCTCACAACCACCTTGAGAGGTTATTGTTATTATTATCTCCAATTTCCAGATGAGGAAACTGAGGCTGAAATAGGTTAAGTGATTTGCCAGGGTCTCATAGCTAGTAAGAGTCTGTTTTCTTCTGTTTTTGGAAACATGAGCTTTTTGGATTTACACATATACAGACACACTCACACTTATGCACATAAAAGCACCAGCATCAGTGTCTGAAGAACTAAGTCATGAATGCGGCCATTACTTCAAGTCACGTTTACTTGGAACGGACAGTCGTGGGGAATAATGAAGAAAAAAAAATTCCTTTCAGTGGTTTCCTTTGGAGGGAAATGGATTTTCCCCTTCAGCTTACACAGTTGGCATACTTATGAAAGGCACGTTTTTCTCTTTCTCTTCTTTTATCTGCAAACTGATGACTCCCCTCTTTTGTAGACACAGGTGTCAGGATAAAGAATGCCCATTGGTTTGGATTGTGAGGTGAGAAAACCGCTCTCTTGAAGCAAGATTGTGGCTTCAAAAGGAGAGAAAGAAATCCATCCTCCCCAGCGGCTTCCGCCTATGGCCAGAAGCTTCTCTTTGTCCCTTTGGTGGCCAGCACACAGCTGGGGAACCAGAGAAACCTCCCTACTGTCCTTTATTAATAATAAATGACACAACTATCCCTTTTAAGCAAAGAAATAGACATTTTCTGTGATCTGTACAAGCACTCTTCCCAAATGGGATTCTCAAAGCACCTGAATCTTTTCAATCCATTCTATAAAGGGCAGAGATTATAGTTAAAATCTGAAATTACCATGAATTATGCAAAGGTCAGCTGGAAAAGAGGCAGACATCGTGTCTGCAGAAAGGGAGGAAGAAAAGGGAGAGAGATGGGTGACTCTGTTCCTTCATCCTCCCAACGATCCCCTCTATCGAGGGGATGGCTCCCCCTCAACCCCCAAATCACTCATGCCATGATGTAGTAAAGAAAAGGCAGGAGTCAGGATTTGAACCAGCTGCCATCTCCGCCGTGTGCTAGCTGGGCAGCGTCAGATGGTTCCTGAGCCTCAGTGGTCTTATCTGTAAGAGGAGGGGGTTGAGATGGAGAGTCTCGTACTTTCTCCCACTAACATTGTTTGTTTTCTTTAACTTTAAACAAACTGCACAAAGGCAAACTAAAACCTGCACAAAAATGTTAGGGGGTGGGGAAGGAAAAATTCACCACAAAACAGACCATTCTTCATGCGTGCTAATGAGAGTTGACTTTTCTGAACTGCCGCGTTAGAAAGCCCTCCACTCACCCACCCCGCAAGTAAATAGCCCAACTTCGTTAATTTATGCTTCACTAACTCAACTGCATTGCAGTCATTCAGACTTTACTAATTTGACGTCTGTGACGATTCAGGAAGAGGTTGGGTTGAAGTCTGGTCCTGGTTCTACCTACCAAAGAAGGGGCTCGCTGCGTAAATGAGAAATATAAACAGGAAGGAGGAAATTTAGTTATTTAAGGAAACAATCTGTTTTTTCAGGTCATTTGTTTATAAGCCACAAAGAATGTGCTACGGTTATAGATATTATATTTTTATTATTATCATAGCTATTAATATATTATGTAACTTTCTTGAAGTTCCATAGCTACTTGAGGGCAGTATTGACACCCAGAATTCCTGGTTCCTTCTCCCTTCTACCACCATCCCTTAGGCAGGTGCTTTGATTTGCTGATGATAAATAATTCTGACCACAGTATCATGGAACTTGAACATTGGAAGGGATCTCAGTGGCCATCTGGTCCAAACTGTACCCTGAAGGAGTCCCCACTGTAATGTATTAAACAAATATCCATCTGTCTGTTCCTGGAGATGTCCAAGATGGGGACTCCATCACTTCTCAAGGCTTTTGGACAGCTCTAAGCAATTTTTCCTCACATCAGGCAGAAACTGGTCTTTTTATAGCTTCTACTCATTGATCTGCTATCTCAGGCCAAATATCTTCTTCCTCCACAAGCCTTGGGCTACTGAGAAGGGTCAACAGACGATGGCCTAAGGCAGGGCATTCAGCTTCAGTGGTTTAGGTTTGGATGCTGACTGGAACGAGAGAGGGAAAACAGCATACTCAGAGATGTGTATCAGTGATACAAACAGATTGGGGGGTCACCTGGTGGTGGGGTCCTGGGCTCAAATACCAGCTATCATGGGGGCACCAGTTTTATGCTTTATTTTGTCAGATTAAGCAGAACCTGGAGTTTCGCTGCAAGTGAGGTGTGGTTACTTGCCTTGGGGTCATCTAGCCTACTCATGATTATTGTGATATTCTTATGCCAGGAATATGTAAGAATTTATGTATTCCTGTGAGTAACCCCCAAGGTTTTTTGAGGGAATGCTTTATAACCACTTTTCTTGCTATGCTTTTTGAATAAATGTCTTTTTTAAGAGCTATTGTGTATGACAGCTGATTATTAATGGGAAGCACACTGGTTGGGACTTATGAGCCATAATGTTAGGAGTAGTCACCAGTGTTACCCTTAGAACTGAAGGTATCAGTCACTCCTCTGAGGACCCCCTTGTTGGCATAAGAGTGATACCCAACCCACTCATTACCTTTTCAGCGGGAGCATTCACACCTTAGAAATTGGCAAAAGCCACCAATGGGAGCTTGATTTGTTTCTCCTTCATTCTCAAAGAGGACCATGGCGTCAGGAAGGTGATGTCATGACTTGCAAGTGAATGGGATTTAAGGGAGGGAGGGCTGTGCAAAGTCACCAGCTTCACTCCCTCCTCCGGAGCCATCTGGGTCCAGTGGTGAGATATAGATCAGAAGGACTAGAGATCCCTGGATGCAGTGGGAGACCTTGGCCTTTTTAAGCTAAGGTCTTTAACAGGCCTCAGTTTGTCTGAGGCAACACCTATTCAGTGATTAAGGCTAGGTAAGAAATGAGGCAAAGAATGGCCTCTTTTACCTAGAAAGTTACATAATATACCATTAGCATTAGTGGGAGTACTATACCTCTGTATGTACATGTCTCCCAGACAGAATGTACGCTCTGCTGGGTTGTCATGAAGATCAAAGGAGATAATAATTATAAAGCACTTAGCATAGTGCCTGGTAATAGTAGGCACTATATAACTTAGCTGATATTATTTTTAAAATTTTTCTTCTGCCTTTGTATCCCTAATACCCGGCCCATAGCAGGCACATAATAAATGCTTACTGATTGACTGACTCATCCATTCCTTAATCAGGTACCACATTTCATTCTTATGACATGTGAAAATACTGTTAATTAATACTTCATGAAAATATCTATTTTGTCCATGTAAGTTAACTCATTCCAATTAGTTCTAAGAAGGTTTCAATTTAAATCCAAGCCCCTTCTCTTTTATGGTGCTTTGAGCACAGGCAAATCATTTAGTCCCCCTGGGCCTCAGTTTTCCCATCAATAAAATGGGGCATGGAGTTGGACCCTGATGGTCACAAAGGTCCCTTCCAGGCCTCAGTCCTTTGATCGTATGGATACTAAACTCAGTGCCTGGTAGGTGATATTCCTGAAGGCCACTGGTTTCCCCAAAGGCCAAGAACTTTGCTTAGCTTTAGGTTCATGGAGAAACAGAGTTTACCATTAGCATTAGATTAAGGCTTTGTGTCCATTTGGAGTTAAGTATGACTTTTGGGGGGGATTTATACTAAGTATATTAATGTTAAAGATTAGAGCTGAGATCTGAAATTAGCATGAAATATGCAAAGGTCAGTGAGAGGAACCGCAGATATCTGTGATATCCAAAGGGCAGGGACAGAGAGCAAACAGGAGTTTGCAAAGAGTTCTACATTCAGGGGTCCAAATTCTCATGTATCCATTGGGTCAGTGGCCTCAAAGAATCCCTGACACGGACTTCAGGAAGTCAAAGGCCTGGCTCTGACTCTTCTTTTAATTACTCTAATTCAATTCTGACTCCTAATCACAGTTCCTTTAGTTGGCAGTTGGAAGATTTTGTTGTTCCAGCGTTCTTCAGTTGGGTCCCACGTGGAGTTTTCTTGGCTGCGTTCAAAGATGTCCTGTGACACTTATTAGCTGTCTAATCCTAGGTCAGTCAATTAATGTCCTTGAGCCTCTCACCTGTAAAATGAAGATGATACCAGCAGCCCTACTTAATGGGGTCCGTATGAAAAGCATCAGGTGCTTTGGGTTGGTTTGTTTGGTGAGACCAGTGATTTCACTGGGATAGGGAGCTCCCAGTAAAAATGACAGCCCCGGCCCCCCATGTAGATCAGCTCCTGCACTGAGTGTAATTATAATTGCCTGGGGGCACTGCGAGGTTCTAGGATTTGCCCAGGGTCACACAGTTGGCATGGGTTGTAATCTTTAAAGCATCATGCAGGTGTATTCCTTATTTTCTACCAGCAACTGTTTACATTGTTCTAATTTCATGGATGTGTTAAGAGAACAAAACTATTTTGCAGGCTGGTGAGATTTCTCCGAAATATGGAGAGTGAATTTATCTTCCAGACAAGTTTATAAGGTTTGGGTTGTTGTTTTTTTTATTATTTCAGCCATCGCTACATGGGTTGGCCTCATGCGCACAGATAGCCTGAGCTGCCATGCTCCCAGAAGTCCCTGCCGATGGAGGAGTCACTGCCACCACCTGCCCATCCCCAGGGAAGCCTGGATCCTATGGACAGTGCTGAGCATGAGTCAGGGAAGAAGACACCTGTGCTCTTTGGAGCAGTTTAGAACCGGAAGCCATTGGCTGACGGTCCACAAAGGAATGCCTGGATGAGCTGCGGGATCTCAGAGATCAGACATGGGCTGTACATGTACTTAGCACACACATACTTGTATACATTCAGCACATTCAGCCAACCCCACCCACTCCTTACCTTTTCAGCGGCAGCATTCACACCTTAGAAATTGGCAAAAGCCACCGATGGGAGCTTGACTTGTTTCTCCTTCATTCTCAGAGAGGACCATGGTGTCAGGAAGGTGATGTCATGACTTGCAAGTGAATTGGATTTAAGGGAGGGAGGGCTGTGCAAAGTCACCAGCTTCACTCCCTCCTCCGGAGCCATCTGGGTCCAGTGGTGAGATGTAGATCAGAAGGACTAGAGATCCCTGGATGCAGTGGGAGACCTTGGCCTTTTTAAGCTAAGGTCTTTAACAGGTCTCAGTTTGTCTGAGGCAACACCTATTCAGTGATTAAGGCTAGGTAAGAAATGAGGCAAAGAATGGCCTCTTTTACCTAGTCAAAAAAAATAGGGAGGACCCTCAGGATTTCTGGCCAAAACAGAAACAATTGCTATTTATACATCTCTCTGAACCATCAGAGCCCAAACAATGATCAAATGAGGCTTGGGCTGGAACGGATTATTGACCCATCAATGAGAGCCAGATTGCTTTGGGTTTAAAGCATGACCCTTAAAAAAAGAAATCTAGCCTGTAAACCCCGAGATATCTTTCGAGGTTTCAGCAATCAAAATTTATATTCCTTTGGGCAGAGCACCCGCAGGTATGATTCTCTAGGTGAACAGAGAGAGAGGAGGGAGGGAGAGAAGGAGGGAAGGAGAAAATGAAAGAGAAAAGGAGGGAAGGAAGGAAGGAGCTGCATTGCCCCAATGGATTTGATTTATTGCTTTGTTGATTAGCCAGACTTGAGAAAGTGCTGGAGGTTGATGAATGCAGATTCAGCTTGAAGATACCACTTTTGGCCAGCACACTCCTGCCCCAGAGGCCACCTAGCCTACCCCTCTTATTTTACAGGTGAGAGAACTGAGGCTCAGGGTGGTTAAGGGACTGTGCCCAAAGTCACCTAGGTAATGAACATCCAGGGTAAGATTTGAACAGGGGTCCTCCACCTCCTGAGCTATCATTCTTCCCACAATACCTCTTCAACCCAATATTCACGTATTGGCGTACATGATGGCAAATATGAAGAACTCAGAGAAATTTAGGAGGATATTCATGAATGAATGAATGAGTGAAATAAGCAGAAGGAAGAAAACTGGCATGATCATAATAATAACAAAGGAAAATGATATTAAAAGACTTTAGAAATCTGATCTATGAAGTGACCAATCTTGACTCCAGAGGACGGATGGTCAAATCTGACCATCTCCAATGACTGTGCACAAAGGTTGTATCCATTTTCCTGGGGAAAGATGAAGGACTCAGAGGATGGTATTATTGGAGGTGAGGTCATGGGAGGTTCTGGGGCCCCAGGTCAGGTATGTGGGCTTTCACTATCTAAGTCTGTTTCTGTAAGAACCAAATATCATAGAATTTACAGCTGGAAGGAACCTTAGTGATCACCTGGACCCACCCTCTTATTTGGAAGGGAACTACCCAAGGATGCACAGATGGTAAACAGGGTTAGGATTCACAATCAGGACTTGGGAAAGCAAGTCCAGAGTTCTTTCCACTACATCTGAGGACTCTGTTTTTTTAGGTCCATAAACTATTTTAAATCTTTACTTTTACCTTTCATCTAAACAGCCCTTTGTGGTCATTGGAGATGGTCAAATCTGGGTTCTTTGGTCCTGTCATGACTGTTTTCTGAACACAGGTGTCTTTTAAAAGATATTTCATAGTTTTTTTTTTAAAAAAATGTTGTCACTTCTCAATGACCTTCTATTACCCTCAACCAATAACTCTTTTTTGTAACAAATAAGTTCAATTGAGCAAAAGACGGGAGGCACATTTGACCATCAGTGCTCTGGAGTCAAGACTGGTCACCACGTAGATCAGCACCTATTATGTGCCAGGCACTGTGCTAGGCACTGGGCATGCAATTATGGAGAATTAAAAATCCCCATGTGCACAGAGTTTTTATTCTAATAGCGCAGACAACAAGTACGTATTACACACACACACATCTTATAGACTAAAAGTGAATAAATACAAACACATACAAAGTAGTTAAATACAAGCTAGTTTGGGAAGGAGGGCACTAGCAGTTGGGGGAATCAGAAAAGGCTTCATGCAGAAGATGGTGCTTCAGCTGTGTCTTTAAGGAGAAGAGGGACCTTATGAGGTGGCTGTATATGCAGAATATATTCAAATATATTGCATTAAGTATATGCAGAATATATACAAGTATATGTGCATTAAGTATATATAGAATGTATTCAATGTGGGCATTAAATGTATGCAAAATATATGTGTATGTATATGCAGAACATATACAATATGTGGGTATTAAACATTTGCAGAATATATGTATATAGTAAGTGTATGCAGAATATTTACAATTATATATGCATTCAGTATATGCAGAATATATATACAAGTATATGTGCATTCAGTATATGCAGAATATACACAAAATGGATATAAAGTCATCTGGGGAGGGAACTGCCCTGGCTACTGGAAGGCTCTGGAGAGGATTCATGGAGGAGGTGACCCCTGAGAGGAGTCTTGAAGGAAACCAGAGGTTCCCCCTCCCCCACAAATGGAGATGAGGAGAGAGCATCCAGGTTAAGTAGGTGTGGCTGGTCCAAGGGTACTAGTTGGGAGATGCATGGAATTGCAAACAAGCCTGGCCTCACTTGGACTCTAGTCTGCGGGAGACAGATTATAATCACCCAGATGTCCAACCAGTTTTTCCCAAATGGCAATTTTTAAACTAGAGTGCCAAACTTCTATTACCAAAGACCATTATTTCTTTAAACCCATAACATCAATAAATAAAACTGACTCCTTCTTCGAACAGTGAAAACTATATGGGAAAATGTAGTTTGAGATCAAGAAATAAAAGTGGCCCAAGGCTGACATTTAGCTGTGGATCATGGGAGAGGTAGCAGGACACAGGGGCAGGAGGGTCGGATTTGGAATCAACCCAGCTGGGCTTCGGTCCTGGCTCTGATACTTAGACTACCTGCCGCTAGACTGAGGTTTTCAGTGCTCCTCCCTGGCCAGATCCTGAGGTTTCTATTGGTGCCCCAAGGCTGGGGAAGGTGGCCCACCAGGAGTCAGAGAACTGAGATGTTTCTTCAGGACACAGCGCCTCGCTCATTTTGGATGGGGAAACACTGACCTTGGGGGTGGTAGAGAAGGGACAGGTGGAAGGCGGAGGGTAAGGACTGGGGAGACAAAACTGTTACCTCTTCTCTCTTCCACTGTCTCCTTTCCTGTTCTACCTCCTTATGTTTTTTTTTTCTCTCCTGTTTTCCCCACTCTTTCCCTCAGCCTTGGCTTTCTCTCTCCCCCACCCTCCCTATTATTCCATTAAAATCAGCCATAGTCTGGAAATGAAATATTTTCTCCTTGTTTGCTGGAATTGTTGAATAAATCTTTAATTTCTTAAATTATTAAGACTATCTTAAATTCTTAATTTAAATCACAGACTTATTGAACATTTTATATTTTTCTCTCTCTGAAAACACCCCTCCCCAACAACTCTAAAGTCAGTTGTATGTTGGTATTTATTTGTATGTAGGCTAGCCCAAGACTATTTTCCCCAGAGACCTATTCTCTTTCCTTCTCCCCTTCTCCCATGATCATTCATTCACTTATTTATCCATCCATTCACTCATTCATTCACTCATTTATTCACTCATTCAGGACCACATCTTATTTGTCTTTGCTTTTTCTCCCCAAGACACTGGCCTTGCATAGCAAAGTGCTTGGAAAACTGTTGAGTGAATGAATAAATGAATCAATTCAACAACAATTTTCTGAGCACCTACTATGTGCAAGTCACTGTGCTGTGCAAGAAACATAGACTTCTTATTCCTATTGCAGTCCCATTTAGGGAAGACATATACAAATAACTGAAAACGGACCAGGAGCTACCAAAAAAGGGGCCCAGGAGCTCAGGCGAGAAACAAATCACTTCCAGGTGGCTGCCATCTTGGATCTCCTTCTTCCTGCTTTCTTTTACTCTGGCACTCATTTAAACTCCCTGGGCTTCCTTTCCTCCACTGTAAAATGAAAGGACTGGACAAGATGACCCCTGGGGTTGTGATTCTGTGATTTCCTCTTCCATTTCTTCTTCAACTCCCATTCTAGTCTTTCCTCCCTTTCTCTTAGGTCTGCAAGAGGAGGATGACCAGAATGAGGAGGAGACTGGCAACCACATGATAGGATAACAAGCTGGGGGTGTTTGGAGAAGAGACGATTGAGGGTGTGATTGAGGTCTTTGGATACTTGGAGGCTGTCCTCCATGGGGAAGAGGAAATGGAAAGATTCTCCTTACCCCAGAAGGCTGGACTCAGATGCAATGGATGGAAATTAGAGGCGGGTTGATTGAGATTCAATGTAAGGACAAACTTCCTAACATTTAGAGTTGTATTTTCCTCTCACTAAAAATATTCAAGAAAGCCTTGATAACCGCTTGTCTAGTTTGTTACAGAAGTTTTTTTTTTAATTAATTTTTTTCATCAGAAAAAAATCCATCTTCTTTCCCTCCCCCTTATCCCTAATTGAGAATGAAAGAAAAACAAAACCCCTTTTACAAACATGTATAGTCAAGCAAAACAAATTTCTTTATTGGCCGTGTCTAAAAGAATATGTATAATATATATAAATATGTATAAAACATGTATATACACACATATGTGTGTGTATATACATATATATTCATATGTATATGTGTATATGTGTGTGTGTCTCATTCTGCTCTCTTTTTCACCTGGCATTCAGAAGACCTGTTCAAATCCAACCTCAGGTACTTACTAGCTGTGTGACCCCAAGCAAGTCGCTTACCCTCTAACTACTTCAGTTTCCTGTTTGAATTCTACCTCAGACACTCATAAGCCATAAATTACCCTGGGCAAGGCACTTAATGTCTCTGTGCCTCGATTTCCCCATCTGTAAAATGAGAGCTATAAAATAGCACCTACCTCACAAGGATCAAACAAGCTAACATATGTAAAGCACTTTGCAAACCTTAAAGCAGCTATAAATGCTAACTACTATTATTACTGTTATCCCCTTACATTATTCAATCTCCTCCCTTTTTCAGGCAAATTCCTGGGAAGAGTTGCCTAGCCTGATACCACACTTCCTCTCCTCTTCTCTCCAATCCTTTTCTAAATGTCTTCCAGCTTCATCACTCTCTGAAACTTCTCTGCAGAGTCACCAGTGGTCTCTTACTTGAGAGATAGGATGATCTTTTCCCTCATCTTTTGTTCTTCTCGACCTATCAGCTGTCTTTGGCACTGCTTGTGACCTTTGGCTCACCTACCCGTCTGACTATCATTTGCTGGATCTTCACCCATATTTTCTCTTTGTTCTTCAGATTATCTCACTTGGTGATCTCATCAGCTGCCCTGTGTGCAGCTACGATTTCTATGCAGATGACTTCCATTTCTATATATCCCCTGGAGACATCTCAAACTCGATGTGTTTATGGCAATGATGAGAGAACAAAACTAAAGTCATAGCCACCATTAAAGAAGAAACACAAATGATTTTGCAGATGATGTAATGGAATACTTTGAAAACCCCAGAGAATCAGCAAAGAAACAAATTCAGAAAATTATAACTTCAGCAAAGTAGCAGAATGCAGAATCAGTCCACAAAATTCATTATTATTGATCTACAGTGCTGACAAAAATCAAAAAGAAATGATCGTAAGAGAAATTCCATCCAAGGTAATTACAACATGCAAAAAATATCTTAGAGTAAACCTCCAAGACACATGCAAGATTTATACAAATACAATGGCAAATTGCTCTTTACACAAAATAAAAATTCAAATACATAAATATTCACTATTCATTATATTGGGTCATGCCAATATAACAAAAATCATCATACAACCTAAGTTAATTTATTGATTTTGTGTTGTGCCAATTACCAAGAAGAAATTTTGTAGAATTAGATAAAACAATAAAAAAATAATTTGGCTGAACTAAAAGGTCTAGACTCTTAAGGAAAATAATGAGAAAATGTATCAATGAAGAAGACATAGCATTACCATACCTCAAAGTATATTATAAAGCAATAGTCATTAAAGTTAAAAAAAAAACAGAAAAGTAGATCACTGAAACAGACTGGATAAGCAAGAAATAGAAGCAATCTAACAAAGTGAGTTTTTAATAATTTGATAAATCCTAAAATATAAGTTACTTGGAGGAAGAACTCTTTTTTAAAACAAGAATTACAGGAGAAACTGGAAAGCAGTTTGGCAGAAATTAGATTTAGAAAAACATCTTTCACCATATACTACAATGTGCTCAAAATGTACATGTCAATAGACTAAGAGGTCACATCATATAAAAAAAAGTAAGAATGGAAGGAAGCAACTTTCAAGGGCTGGGAGAATTCTTTTTTCAAAAAAATTATTTCTTTTTAACATTCATTTTTTAAATTTTGAGTTCCAAATTGTCTCCCTCCCTCCAGGCCCTCCCCCATACATTGAAAAGGCAAGTAATATGATAACCATTATCCATGTGAAGTCATGCAAATATATTTCCATATTAGCCATGTTATAAAAAAAAAAAGCAAGAAAAAAGTGAAAAAATGCTTCAATCTGCACTCAGAGTTCATTAATTCTCTCTCTGGAGGTGGATAGCATTTTCATCATGAGTCCTTTAGAATTTCTGTGGATCATTTATTTTATTGGTCAGAGTAGCTAAGTTTTTCATAGTTGGTTTTCTTTATAATATCACTGTTATGGTGTACAATGCTCTCCTGGTTCTGCTCACTTCACTTTCATCAGTTCATATAGGTCTTCTCAGATTTTTCTAAACCTGGAAGAATTCTTAACCAAATGAGTAATAGAGGAGGTTATAAAGATAAAGTAAATAATGTTGATTGTTTAAAATTAAGAAGATCCTACAGGAACAAAAAAAAAACAAATGAAATTAGAATAAGAAAGAAACAATGGAAAAAAGAACCTTTTGCCTCAAATGTCAATGTTGAAAGTCTGATATCCAAAATATACAAGGAACTGACACATAAATATGTAAAACCAAGAGCCATTTCCCTAATAAGTAAATGGTTAAGGAATATGAACAATTTTCAAGAGGATTGCAAACTATAAATGACCATTTGAAAACATGCTTCAAAACACTAATAGTAACTTAAACACAAATTTTAGAAACTCTGAGATTTTACCCTGCACATGTACGTTGCCATAGATAAACAAAGACAAGAATAGTCCATGTTGGAGGTGCTGTCTGAAGACAAGTGGAGCTGTGAACTGGTCCAGCCATTGTGCATGTCAAGATGGAGTCATGCAAGAAAAATCACTCAAGTCTCTTCACACTTGGGTTCATTGAGTATCTGCCCCTAAGAAAATGAAGACCAGAAATGGAAATCCATTATAGTCTTAGCATCACTCATGAAAGCAAAGACTTGGAAAGTCAACAAGCATTTACTAGGTGCTTACTAGGTGCCAGGCGCTGTGCTAAGCTTCCTGACTTCAAGGAGCTTACATTCTAATGGAGGAGAGAGAGAACCTATAAAAAAAGGCAGAGACGAACCGTGCCTATAGTTGTTCAGAAAAACTGATAGATGAAGATGATGAAATATTGGCTGTAAGAAATGATGAATGTGAATGATTCAGAGACACACAGAGAGTGAAACGAACAGAACTCTCTTCTCAGAGATGGCTCCTATTGAATCTAAATCTTGCTTGATTGAAGCACTACAAACTTGCTGCGTCTCACGGAACGAGATTACGCGGGAGCCCCCCAACTAGCGAACTCGTTTATCGCGCCTGCCTGAAGAGTCTGGATTCACTTAAGTACGCAGGTGTTGGCGGTGGCAGAATATAATCTGTTCCAATGCCCTCAATTTAGAGGTGATAAAAAGAGGCTCTGAGAGGGGGTGACTTGACCAGGGTGACACAAGTCGAAGCAGCAGAACCAGGACCTGCACCTGGGTCCCTCGTCTCCTCTCTGGGGCTATTTCTGGGAGAGGGCTGTAAATGAAGTCCTCATCAGTTAGGTCTCAGGTAACTTAAAAATCAGTCGGTGAATAGGTGTTTATTAGGCGCTTCCCTGGCGCCAGATACTCTGGAGTTACAGTACAAACAATGAAACAATGCCCACTTGCGATGGCCTTCCATTCTAATGGGGGAGAGAACAGGTACATGTAAAAATGCATATGGCGGGAGATTAACTTATCATTTAACTCTCTTACCTGGGGAATGAGGCAAGTTAGGTGCTTGGGGTTGGGGGCGGGAAGGGGGATAGGAGAGCTAGAGGAAGACCAAGATGATGCCGGGGGAGGTGACAGATGGAAGGAAAAGGGACACAAACAGCTAAGCTTTGGGGCAGGTAGGTGGCACCGGCATCCGAGTTCACTTATCAGTTGTATGACCCTGGGCAACTCACTAAACCTCTCTGGGCCTCAGTTTCCTCCTCTGTAAAATGAGGGGGTGGGGTTCCGCCTCCAAAGTCCCTTCCAGCTCTAAATCCATGCAATGTCCTATTTGCGTGTAAGTAAGAGGCTCCTAAAGTCCCCAGGGAAAGTCCACTCTGCCTCTGTTTACTCATCTGTTAAATGGATCGAATTACGTGACCTCAATAATTCCTTATGACTTTAATATATGGGAAATACAGGATCTGAAATCCTAGGGTCCCACATTTCACAGAAACTCAGAGGCAGAGGGGACCCGAGAGCCCACTACCCCGTTTGTATTTCAACCAAACGCTCCTCTGTGGAGGACAGGTTTGCGCCCTGAGATGCCATCCAGTGAGCAGAAGACCACTGTTCTGAAGCAGCCCAGTTTGCCCTCACATCAGTAGGAAGTTTCTCCTTGGGTGGCACTTAAATTGGCTTCTTTCTAACTCCTACTCATAGCTCCTACTTCTTTTGCTCCCCGGACCAAGGCTTGAAATCTACTTTAAGAGGATGGGTCAGGCCTCGCCTGAGCCTTTTCTCCTCCCCCCCTCAGTGGCCTTCCTAAAAGGTGGATGCCTAGAGCTGGACAAGGTACCCCAGATGTCATCTGACCAAGGCAGAGGACTGGCATCTCCTGGTTCTGGACGCTGCCTCTCAGTGCAGCCCATGGTCCCGTTTTGCGTAAGCCCAAAGAGGACCCTGCGCCTACTTAACAAAAAAGTGCAAGATAATGGTGGGATTGTTAGTAGTAAATAAATAATTCTAAATTCTAAAGAATAAATAATGCTAAAAAATAATAAATGCATGATACCGTAAGCGTATTCCCAGAAAGAACCCTGCAATCCCCCTTTTTTAAAAAGCATAGGGTAAGCGGGGGGAGGTCTCTGTTCATAAGACCTGACCTATCTCTCCCTCTCTCCTCCAAGCAGGTCAATTAGGAGCTCAGTGAGCCTCCCCCAGGCTGCACCTGCCAATTTTCTTCAACCTTCCACAGAAGAGTTGCCCCCTCCCCTCGAGGACTGGTCAATGGCCTTTCTCGAGGCCTGCTGGGGCTTTCAGCACAGCTCGCTGGGACAAGGTGCTGCTTCCAGGACTAATTGTCCAGAGCAGCTGATTGAGGGCTGCGCCGGGAGCTTTGCGAACAAAGGCTCTATTTCGGGCCTTCTGACGGCTTGTTTATTTCATTTAAAATAACAGATGTCATTTGTGATAAGTAAGCACTTTCTCGCTGGGCATTGGATTAAGACAAATCTCATTTTTGTGCTCGCACAAAAGCCACATGCTGGATTGTGTACTGAAAGACCGTTAACAACCCCCCTGCTCCTCCTCCCCAGAAAGGCCTACAATAACGGGGAGAACAGTGGCGAGCTTTGTACCGTGAAGCTTTGTTAGCGTATACCACCACCTTACGGCCAGTCCTTAGGCTGCAGGCTTGCGGGGGCCATCGTGACCCCAGCCTTGCGAGTAACCCCCAGGCTCTCATTCTAGCCAGCTGCCGTCGCCATTGAGGGTGGGGGGAGGAGGGAAGGGAGGAAGCATGATCAATCAGTCAATCAACAAACATTCATTAAGCATCTTCGTATGAGCACAGACGTATAAAGTGTTATAGAAATGCTAATTATCACCATCACTACTATTGTTATTGTTATTATTATTATCATTATTAACCAGGCACTATGCTAGGCACAAAAGAAACTACTCTTCTCCTGAGAAGCCCACGTTCCGTGTGGGGGAGAGGACACACACATGCATTTTGTACACCCACATACACGCATGCACACTTACATACACGTATGTACACACACGTGGGTGTACGCTTACATATAGGATATTGAGGCAAGCATGATAAAGAGGGTGCTGGGCAGGGTGAACCTGGGGTCCACAAACTCCTTTTTAAATCATGTTTGGATAATTGAATTTCAGTAAAATTGGTTTCCTTTGAAATCCTATAGATTTTATTTTATTTAAAAATTTAAAATGATTCTGAAGGGGGTCCATAGGTCTTGACAGACTGCCAAGGGCATCCAGGACCCACAAAAGGTTACGAGGAACCCCTGCTGTGGAGCTTTCCCTGAGATGCCTGAAGATGAGGCAGAGGGGAAGCTGGCTGTGTCTGGAGGGCTTCAAGCCAGCGGCTTGAGATTCCACAAAGGGAAGAATTTCTGATAGGTCTATCTGGTGCTCAGGCCTGGGGTATCTCAGGCTCTTGGTCTGCAGGGGGTGCTGAAGGCAGGGGGTCCTAACCTTTTGTGTGTCATAGACCCTCTGGCTGTCTGGTGAAACCTCCTTGTGGACGGCTCCTCACAATCCTGGTTTGAAATGCATATGTAACCTCTGTGGCCAGAAAACGCATGCCAGGGGGGTTATGTGTAAGATAGAATAATGCATAGGCTTAGAAAGGAAGCAGTCATATTGAAATGCAGCTTCCTGATGGGTTTATAAAGCAAACAAGTTGAGGGACCTGAGATCTGCCCCAGCTTAAGAACATTTGAAAAGGGAAGGGAAAGGGCTAGGTAACTTCACTAAGGTCCTTTCCAGGCCACAGCTCTCAGACAGGACCTCAGCTGGCCACAGTCAGCTGTGAAGCTATGGGGAGCCTTTTGGGGAGGGGGTAGCCAGGTGGTGCTGCAATGGAGGGAGTGCCAGGCCTGGAGTCAGGAAGACATGAGTTCAAATCTGGCCTCAGACACTGATTGCTGTGTGTCCTTGGGCAAGTCACTTCACCCTGTTTGCCTCAGTTTCCTCATCTGTAAAATGAGCTGGAGAAGGAAATGGCAAACCACGCCGAGAAAATCCCAAGTGGGGTCATGAAGAGTTGGACATGACTGAACAACAGGTGAGGGGAAGGTATTGAGGCCGTCCGCAGCTCCTGAGATGACTTCGGATATCAAATTCAGAAGCTAAGCTTCCAGACCAGGCCTGGGAGGTAATAACAAGCCGCATGTGGTGCCAGTGACTGAAGATAACCCATCTCAACCCGCGGCATGGAAATTCCCAGGCCATCAGTCTGGAGGGGCCCTTCCCTACCTCACCCATCCAGCTGCCCTAGGCTCCAGAATGGGGGAGGCAAGGGATCTGAGTTTTAGTTCTGACACTCACTAGTTGTACCATCATGAGCCACTCACTTCTGTCTGAATCTGTTGCCTCATCTGTCAAGTGAGGTTGGTCCAAATGGCTGTGAATCCTACCAGATGGACAAAGACAGGCGCTGACTTTACGGGGGACTCCTGGGTAAGCAGCCCACTTCTACCAGTGCAATTTGTCGTTTTAAAGAGTTGCCCAGGACACTGAGAGGTGAAGGGCCTTGCCCAGGGTCACGGCCAGTATGTGTCACAAACTTGGACCCAGGTCCTCCTAGCTCTGAAGCAGCTGTGTATCCACTATGCTACCAATTCAAATTCAATCAAAAATCCTGTGATGGGGGACAGCTAGGTGACACAGTGGATGGAGCGCTGGCCCTGGAGTCAGGAGGACCTGAGTTCAAATCCGGCCTCAGACACATAACACTTACTAGCTGTGTGACCCTGGGCAAGTCACCTAACCCCCCATTGCCCAACAACAACAAAAAAATCCTGTGATATTTACTTTATTTATAATAAATTTATATATAAATTTATAATGTCTATTATAATTTATTCATAAATTTATTTTCTACTGTGTATAAAAACCTGAGTGCTGGTCAAAGCCTCTCCCCCACTCAACATGTCTGTAGGGTTTTTCCCGTGAACGGAATGTCTTAGGAATTTTCTGGGCTGTGAAGTCTTTGCTATGCCAATTACACATATAGGATTTCTCCCCGCGGATCTCCTGATGCTTAGAAAAAACTTGATTTACAATTTAATTCGCCTTTGAGGGGTGTCTCCCCTGCGTAGACCCTCTGGTGGCCAGTGAGGTGAGCTTTCTGAAGGAATCCTTTGTCTCTCTGATCACAGTGATAAGGT